TAATAAATCATCAAAACGCATTGTTTTAATAATAAATGGATCTTGATCATTTTTCGGTACTTCATTGATTAATTTTTATGAACCAATATTATTTTTAATATTAGCTCGAAGAGATAAATAAACATCTGATTTATTATAAAGTACACGAGGAATAAGTTCAACTTGTTTTTGAACATTTTCAAGTTGAATCGATCGATGAATTCGTTCAATATTTGGACGAAAGCATTCAATTGATATTATATTTGAACAACCTAATGATGTTGCATACATTGTATATATACCTAGATTTGCACCAATATCAATAAATGAATATTGTTTATAAGTTGAAAGTATACGAATAAAATGTGTTACTAAATGTTCTTCCCAAATGCCATGTGATACTAAATGACCACTAACATCTCGATCTTTTTGTATTTCATGAATACAAACAGTTGTACGATATTTATCTAATAATAATTTTCTTTTAACACATTTGAATGATTCACTTGTTAATATATTTAGATCAACATGATCATTAAAACTTGTTTTCCATGAAATAAATATTTTAGAAGAATAAGAATTAATAAATGAAAATAAAAATGAATTTTTAAAAACATATACACTTATCAATAATACACATATTATTAAACAAAACTAACGAAATTTTACTCTTTTATTCATCTAAAAATAAATTAATACATCAATAAGGAAAGATTCACATGGGTTTTAAATCGAAGCAAACTAATAAACATATTATTTTACGTAAGATAAAATAGTTTTATCAGACAGTAATATTCTATACTGAGAATTAATTAAGTTTTTTTCTTCACAACATATCAAATGAAAACAAATATCGAATTTCTAGAACAAGAAGAACATTAACAAAATTCTCATACAAAATAAGAATATAAAATTATATTAGTAAATTCAAGGAAAGATCGCATCTTCTTTTCGGAACCGCTTTTCATTTCTTTCTCAGCGAAGACCAATAAAAACCGAGTTTATACCAATTGAAAGACCGCTAAAACATGATTTTTGATCATGAGTGTTCACTTCTCTCTTCGATGATATAGATCTAACATTTACATATCAATGCTATAAATGAAAGTCTAACATTTATTTTGATAAAATTGCATACGACTGAAAAACGTGTCTGATTATAGTAGAACCTTCCTCAGTGGAACAATAAAGGGTGTTCCTTAAGTTCTGATCCATCGTGCAACATTTGTTTTTTTATATATTGGTTGGACCAAAAGAGTTGATATTTGTAGTGTGTATACTACTAGCCTAGTTCTACTTTATACTAGTGGCGGAGCCAGGATTTTGAGCTGGGGAGCTCAGTCCCGTCTGAGGGACCTTTGAGCCCCAGCTGGCGAATAAAATACATGGTTTAAAAATTTTTCTGGGTGGGGCTCAAAGGTTTCTGGGGGGGGAGGGAGTCTGAGCCCCCCTCCCCAGTCCCGCCCTGGCTCTGCCACTACTTTATACTAAAATTTGAGCTTTCTATTTATCATCATTATCAATTTATATGCGTCACAAAAAACCCAACGAAAAATCAAAAAAATCGAGATATTTTTCATACATGACTATAATGTTGTATAATAAAAATTAGCTCTTCTAGTTTCAAACATCATCACCACTCAATAAGGAATTTTCTTTACTGAAAAAAAGTTTGTAAAATGGTTTAAAAAAACAATAATTTACTACTAACTTACTGGATTAAAAATAGTATTATTTTATCCTTCCATGTATTCTATTCGTACGATTTGCTGTTTATGAACGTTGTTATTGACGAAAAAAAGCAAATTGTATATATCCTACTCAATTCGAACAAAGTCATTCTTAAGAAAAAAAAAAAAAAAAAAGGTCTTTCTCTCATCCTAATATAATCGATGATTAAATATTGATCTACACAACACAGAAATCTTTTCTAGTTAAAATAAGATGATGAAGTTTAATTTCTCTAGAATTTGATTTAAACAAAATATTAATTCATATTTAAGAAGGTTGTTTTAGATCAAGATTGGCAAAATCGAATAGATTTTTTTTTTCACTCAAATTTATTTGAATGACTAAAGATACTTAAAAGACATGTTTCAAGTTAAATATGTTCTTATTAAAAATGGGAAAAGTTTATTAACCCTTTGAGTCCCAAATTATTTTTCGGTAAAATGAATTCAAGTAAATCGTGAAAGTGACTCATTCTAGACATAGAGCGTATGATATGAAGAACTCCAATGACTATGCTCTTAGTCTAATGCGTTTAACTTTATTGAATTTTGTC